GCCAGAGCCTTGACCCATCATGGCCACCACACCTGAATCTCGCCATGCCACAGTCGTCATGCCACGGATACCATGCAAGTTTCGCCTAAGGATTTTTTGGGGGAAGGTTATAGTACCCAAGTTCCTGTGGATGCAGAGCTTGGGCCAGGACTGATTGCCAGTGTGATGTACCCACCATTGATGTCAGTACGAACAGCTGGCATCCCCAGGGCCTCAGCACGGGCTATCACAGAGACTGTTCCCCTATCCTCAGTACTTCCTGTTATGGCGGTAGCCATCCTGAGTGTGTGGGCAGCACACTGCACTCCAGAAGTCTCTCCTGTCCCTGAGTCTGTCCCAGAGGCCTCTCCTGTTCATGTATCTGCTCCAGTGCCTCCAGAGGTGGCCGTTTCTGCTGCAGAACCTCCTGAGGTGGTGCCCTCTTCTGAACTCTCTGCCTGTCCTGTCACGGCCAAGGAGGCCGTTCCTGAACTCTCTGTGCTCTCTGTTCCAGTCCCGCCTGATCCGCCTTGGTGGATCCCTGCTTGGCTGTGGTGGTCATCTGTTCCACTGTGCGGATTTCTGCTCCTGTCTGCTCTGCTGACCAAGTGGTCCTCTGCTCTGCCCTGCACTGCCGGCTCCACCATGGCTTCATGCTCCTCTGGATCTGACCTGGTGGTCTCCTACTCCACTGTTCCACAGTCTGCCTCTGATCCACGACCCAGGTCCTCCAGAGTTTCACTTTCTGCCACTGCTCCACGGCCCAGGTCTCCCAGTGTTTCACTCTGCCATTTATCCACGGTCCATGTCATGATCCTAGTCCTGTTCCCCTTCACGGGCCTGGCCCTCCATCCCTCCCCCTCTTCTGCCTTCGCTCCACCACCCTCCTGGACTTGTTAGGTTTGGGTTTTGTTTGGGCATCTGGAGCCGCCCTTAGAGGGGCGGATATGTAACATGGGGTTTGGCAATTATTTGTGAAATTTACATGCAATTTCTGAGTGAAAATTAAGTAAATTCTGCACCTTTTTTTCAGTGCATAAGTCTCAATCATTTTAAAATAGATTCATTACCTGAACTGAACTAGAAAAAAACCCAACATAAAATCTACAAGGTCAGTCAACGTCCTTGCCTTTCAGAGAGCTCAGCAGCAAGAAGACAATAACATGAAAGGATGTTTTCCTGAGCAGAGCGAGGGTTATTAGCAGTCCTTCAGTGTGACGGGAGGTCAGCTGCTTTCTCAGTCTTTTATCAAGTTAATGCACTTTGAACTCAAGGAACCAGAGGCCTTCAGCGTTCCCCGTCTGTCATTTAAAGGGCAGGGAGAATGAGTAAGCCCTAATTGAGCAGATATACTTCATTTCACATGCGAACACATCCGACAGCGGTGCTCTCATGCACAAAACAGCCTTCGATGTACAGGAGGAAGATGTACATTTCAGAGACAGCATTAGAAATGCTGACAGTGAATCAGTAGATACGTGTTGGGTTTTCTATTTTAAGAACAAAGATGACTTGATATTTCTTTTGCTTTGAGGTAATGCAACACATTTTGGCCAGATTTTGTGAAACTCTGCAACAAAAGGACAAAAATAGACATGTTTAAACACTGTTTAAACACTGAAATGATTAATTATTTCAGCTCCATCACTGTAGGTTTGGAATCACAAGCTTATAATATGCCCATTTTAATTGAAGCAATTTTTTTGTATCATGGTAGCACCAGTGTTGTGAGATACAATTATAGTTTTTATTAACAGTTTGAATTAGTGTTTATTTTTAAACTTTCTCTTCTATTTTTAATTTTTGTTAAAGTTTTAGTAATTTTGTAGTGTGTTTTGGTTGTGAGATACTATTATAATTTTTATTAATAGTCTGAATTAGTTTTTGTTTTTATATTTTTAATTTCCATTATATTTTTTTGTAAAAGTTTTAGTAATTTTATTGTGCGTTTTGTCATTTTTATTAGTTTTTTTATTTACTTTTAATTTATTTTTATTTCTATTTTAGTATTAGTTACTTTAGTACATCAAGTTAAACTAAATGAAAATGAGAGATGTTTCTTTGGAAACTAGATAAAATAAGTGTTTTTAATATTTTATTTCAGCTAACATTTTTATTTCAAGTAACAAACATGTTTTTTTAATGGTTTTATTATTAATTGACTATAATAACCCTGCAGTACTATTGTATTCTTTAAAGTGGCATGTAAATAAATGCTAAATGATATCCAAAATGATGGCAAAACATAGCTTAATGTAGTGACTTTATCAATTTTAAAATATCATGCGTTTTACTTCATGCATAATGCGTTTTAACTAGTGCTGTCAAACTATTAATCGCAATTAATTGCATCCAAAATAAAAGTTTTTGTTTACATGATATATGTGTGTGTGCTGTGTATATTTATTATGTATATAGAACTAAACACACATGCATGTATGTAACGTGGGGTTTGGGTTTTGTTTGGGTTTCATGTTCATTGCTCTCATGTCTTTTATTTTGGAGTTTAGTCATGGTCCCTGTCTAGTCATGTGATTCCCTTGCCCTCATGTTATCCTGCTATTGGTTCTTTGGTTCATGTGTCATGTTCTCATTGGTTGTGTTAGTCATGTGTCCTGTCTCTCATTGGTTGGTTCCTGTAATGTGACCCTTGTTGTGTGATATAAATAGCCCTCATGTTGCCATTATCTCTTGTCGAGTATTGATGTTGTAACCTGCTGTCGGTGAGTCAAGTCTGTTCATGCCAAATCAAGTCTCTGTTTGGATTATGTTAGTATTTTGGATCACTTTTGGAATGAAGCTGCACTTGGGTTCTTAAACTCGCCTTCAGTAGAATTACGCCTTACAGAATACTTGACCACCAAAATGAACCCAGCAGATTGTCTCGTTCTACTTCACCAAGGAAACCAGCCCATTGAGGATTATGTGGCGGACTTTTGTAAGTTGTGTCATTTGGTGGACTTTCATGATACCTTCTTGAAAGACGCAATACCCCTCAATGGACTCTTGAGAAATATATTGACTTTGTTGCTGGCTGGTTCACCTTTTACTGTGGGAAGTGCGGATGAGGAGCCCCGCAACTGTGCTGTACCCTCTGCTCCAGAGCATTTTCACGTCCCGACCGTTATGTCAGGAGTTGTTCACGTCATGCCTGCTAAGCCAAAGCCTGCTTGCGTCATGTCTGCCACTCAAGAGTCTCGTCTCAAGATGACCGCCACGCCTGAGTCCCCGGCCAAGATGGCCGCCACGCCAGAGCCTTGACCCATCATGGCCACCACACCTGAATCACGCCATGCCACAGTCGTCATGCCACGGATACCATGCAAGTTTCGCCTAAGGATTTTTTGGGGGAAGGTTATAGTACCCAAGTTCCTGTGGATGCAGAGCTTGGGCCAGGACTGATTGCCAGTGTGATGTACCCACCATTGATGTCAGTACGAACAGCTGGCATCCCCAGGGCCTCAGCACGGGCTATCACAGAGACCGTTCCCCTATCCTCAGTACTTCCTGTTATGGCGGTAGCCATCCTGAGTGTGTGGGCAGCACACTGCACTCCAGAAGTCTCTCCTGTCCCTGAGTCTGTCCCAGAGGCCTCTCCTGTTCATGTATCTGCTCCAGTGCCTCCAGAGGTGGCCGTTTCTGCTGCAGAACCTCCTGAGGTGGTGCCCTCTTCTGAACTCTCTGCCTGTCCTGTCACGGCCAAGGAGGCCGTTCTTGAACTCTCTGTGCTCTCTGTTCCAGTCCCGCCTGATCCGCCTTGGTGGATCCCTGCTTTGCTGTGGTGGTCATCTGTTCCACTGTGCGGATTTCTGCTCCTGTCTGCTCTGCTGACCAAGTGGTCCTCTGCTCTGCCCTGCACTGCCGGCTCCACCATGGCTTCATGCTCCTCTGGATCTGACCTGGTGGTCTCCTACTCCACTGTTCCACAGTCTGCCTCTGATCCACGACCCAGGTCCTCCAGAGTTTCACTTTCTGCCACTGCTCCACGGCCCAGGTCTCCCAGTGTTTCACTCTGCCATTTATCCACGGTCCATGTCATGATCCTAGTCCTGTTCCCCTTCACGGGCCTGGCCCTCCATCCCTCCCCCTGTTCTGCCTTCGCTCCACCACCCTCCTGGACTTGTTAGGTTTGGGTTTTGTTTGGGCATCTGGAGCCGCCCTTCGAGGGGCGGGTATGGAACATGGGGTTTGGGTTTCATGTTCATTGCTCTCATGTCTTTTATTTTGGAGTTTAGTCATGGTCCCTGTCTAGTCATGTGATTCTCTTGCCCTCATGTTATCCTGCTATTGATTCTTTGGTTCATGTGTCATGTCCTCATTGGTTGTGTTAGTCATGTGACCCTTGTTGTTTGATATAAATAGCCCTCATGTTGCCATTGTCTCCTGTCGAGTATTGATGTTGTAACCTGCTGTTGGTGAGTTAAGTCTGTTCATGCCAAGTCTCTGTTTGGATTATGTTAGTATTTTGGATCACTTTTAGAATAAAGCTGCACTTGGGTTCTTAAACTCGCCTTCAGTAGACTGCTTGTTGCAGTGTATATATTTCAGAAAAATGTTATGTTTATATATTACATAGATTTATATATAATATAAATTATATTAATATAAATATATACATGTAAATATTTTCAAAATATATACTGTATGTGTGTGTATTTATATATATATATATATATACATAATAAATATACACAGTACACACACATATATATTATGTAAACAAAAACTTTTATTTTGGATGTGATTAATCGTTTGACAGCACTAATTATAATGCATTCATAATGTACATTGTGATGCATTATATATTTTCTTCAATAATTATAGCCAAAGTTATACTTACAGATTTATTTTTACATCTGAAATTGGTTGTCATGTTTTAATGCATTGTATTATCTGTGTAAATAGGAATAGATAAGTATTATATTATAATTAATGCATTAAAATACTTTTGTAACGAATTAAATGTAAATGCTTCAAGTAAAGCCTTACCTAATTGTGTTCATATTTAACTGTTTTGAAAGGTCTCTGCTGTAGTATCTGACAATGTTTCGCAAAAAGAAGAAGAAGAGGCCAGAGATTTCAGCGCCGAAGAACTTTGAGCATCGCGTTCATACGTCGTTCGATGTGAAGCGAGGAGTCTTTGTCGGTCTTCCCACACAATGGCAGAGTTTAATAGAAAACCTCCGGAGACCCAAACCCATGGTGGACCCGTCCCGGATCACGCTGGTGGAGCTCAAACCAAAGAAGGTCAGAATTACATCAAATTAATGTGAAGAAATATCCTACAATAGCAGGATAGACCATTTCAGTTTACTTTCAGTCCACTTTGAGTTGATTGTAAACTGCATAGCAACAGCCTGGAAAACACCGTAAGCATGGATCGACTTCAGCATAAGCATACTTTATTTTTCCCAAAATATTTTTGTGTGAATTGAGTAAATATTGCGTACATATTGGATTTCAGTATATTCAAATAAATATATTATGCTGAGAAAACATAAACGAAAACTGCTTTGAGAAGCTTCAAAACCCTCTCAATATCATTTAGCCAAAAAAAATGACGATAAACTCTAAATTGCTTCTCAGCATGTGAAGTTTTATTGTAACAACAATTTCATTGAACAATTTGTAAATACATCAACAACAGCATGTCTTTGCATTGCAAGATTAGGATCAGGTGCATTAAAGAAAAAATAGATAGAATAAAAAAAATTAAAGGTTGAGGGCTTTTCTTGTAAATGATATTCTTCTATTATAGCAAAAAGGTTTCATTGCATTTTTATTTTTCACCAACTTAAGGGCTGTAATAAAATTTTCTTGTAAAACCTTCTTCAATAATCTTTGTTTAAAAAAATCTTTTTTCACAGTGTAGCTGCAGGTAATTTACATTTCTTAGTATTTGTAACCCAAAAGGTCCTGTAAACTTAAAAATAAGTTGCTTTTCTATTTTTACGGTTTTTTTATTTAATGCTCTTCACTTTTTGTAGAATATTGTGCACTGATTAATTATTCACAATAAAAGATGAAATGGAAATGAGAATAAATTTAAATATTGTTTTTTTTATTTACAGTACTTAATTCATATCACTTTAAAGTCACATGATGTATGAAATACATCAAATTGCTTCTCAAATTGCTTTTGTTACAACAATTTTATTGAACAATTTGTAGAAACCGCTTGGCAACAGCATGTTTTTTGCGTTAGTAGTGTATGTTCAAGTGAAAAAAAAGAATAAAAAAAATAAAATTAAAGGGCTAGGACTTTTGTTGTAAATTATATTCTTGTATTATAGCAAAACGTTTTAATGCATTTTTATTTTTCCCCAGCTTAAGGGCTGAATTTCTTGAAAAACGTACTTCAATAAACATTGTTTACAACTTCAAAAAATACATTTTCACACTTCTTAATATCTGTGACCCCAAAGGTCCCATAAACTAAAAAAGGTTGCTTTTTTTATTTTCGTTTTTACATTTTTTTTATTTGATGCTTTTCACTTTTTGTAGAAAAACAAAAATAGGAAAAAATAGATTAAAGACAAAAATAGAGAAAAGAAATCAAATAAAAGGGCTAGGGCTTTTCTTGTAAATTATATTATTCTATTATAGAACCGTAAGGGCTGACGTTGTATTTTCTTGTATTATTTTCTAGTAAAATGTGCTTGTATTTTTTTTTATGTACAACTTTGAAAAATCGATTTCAAGTAATTCACATTTCTTAATATTTGTGACTCAAAATGTCCCGTAAACTGGAAAACATGTCGTTGTTTTTTTTCAGCGTCTCTCATGCTGATTCTTGACTCATTATTACGATTATAGCAGCACGTTGATTCTCCACAGCCTCCTCAATGTGTCAGCAAAGCAGCTGCGCTGGTCCAGTTTTGGCTTTGGCCTGACTCGGGACAGAGAATACCCGAGCTTCTCAAACATCTAAAGATCTCTGCTCTTCTGTGCACAAACATATGCTTTCATAGAGAACTGCTTGCGTTGAATTAGCCCTGCTTCATGAATGTGACGTCAGAGAAATTGATGGGAAAATCAACTGCTTTTTTTATACAAGGATGCAGTTGCTAAGGTGTTCCAAGCGGTTGCTAGGGTATTTGTTTGAGATTTGCACCTTCAGTCTCTTGTCGTTTCACGTCTCTGTATCTTCTATTCTGTCTCTGTCTGCCTCTGTCACTTCACTACGAATGAAGCACATGACAGCTGATGAATGCCATGTTTTTCCTCAAATGCCTAAATATATACTTATGCAACCAAAATATGTGGGAATATACTAGAAAATATAATGCAATATATTAAATAATACAAACTAGTGCTTGTATTTTTCAATATACTGCAATATGTGCATGGAATTGTATATTAATAAAAAATATAGAGCAATAAAGACAAATACTGCACTACATTTTACATGTAATAGCTTTATTGAAACACTAATTAATTTTCATGAGTTAATGCATGGGTTTACTTAAAGCTGACTTTATTTTCCATAATATTGAAACAAATATTAAAGGTTTATTTATTTATTTTTTTTGACAATATGTTGTATGTTTAGTACATGTTCAAATGTATTTATACTCCGACACAGAACCATATTTTATTATATGCATATTATGAAGCGTATTATTGAATATAAAATGACATACAATATGAGAAGTAAAAATGTTTTCACATATTTTTCAATATATGAAAAGTGACAATTGCTTATGTATTATTCAATATATTGGACTCAAAATGTCCCGTAAACTGGAAAACATGTCGTTGTTTTTCCCAGCGTCTCTCATGCTGATTCTTGACTCATTATTACGATTATAGCAGCACGTTGATTCTCCACAGCCTCCTCAATGTGTCAGCAAAGCAGCTGCGCTGGTCCAGTTTTGGCTTTGGCCTGACTCGGGACAGAGAATACAGCATTTAATCTCAGTGCTTGATGTTCCAGGCGTTTCTCCCCGAGGGCCGCTCCTGAACGGCGCTCAGAAACACATGTTTTTTCCTCTGTCACATTGGCTTCTTATCTATCACGGGCCTGCTGTGAACACTGATTCAGAGCGCTGAATCCTCGGAGGGCCGAGAGATTTATTACCTCACGCTGGCAATTAATAATGATGCATGCGGGCCACCAGCGCAGCGAGAGTCAGGCGGAAAAACTGCAACTCCAAGCAAAAGAGCCGAGCTTCTCAAACATCTAAAGATCTCTGCTCTTCTGTGCACAAACATATGCTTTCATAGAGAACTGCTTGCGTTGAATTAGCCCTGCTTCATGAATGTGACGTCAGAGAAATTGATGGGAAAATCAACTGCTTTTTTTATACAAGGATGCAGTTGCTAAGGTGTTCCAAGCGGTTGCTAGGGTATTTGTTTGAGATTTGCACCTTCAGTCTCTTGTCGTTTCACGTCTCTGTATCTTCTATTCTGTCTCTGTCTGCCTCTGTCACTTCACTACGAATGAAGCACATGACAGCTGATGAATGCCATGTTTTTCCTCAAATGCCTAAATATATACTTATGCAACCAAAATATGTGGGAATATACTAGAAAATATAATGCAATATATTAAATAATACAAACTAGTGCTTGTATTTTTCAATATACTGCAATATGTGCATGGAATTGTATATTAATAAAAAATATAGAGCAATAAAGACAAATACTGCACTACATTTTACATGCAATAGCTTTATTGAAACACTAATTAATTTTCATGAGTTAATGCATGGGTTTACTTAAAGCTGACTTTATTTTCCATAATATTGAAACAAATATTAAAGGTTTATTTTTATTTTTTTTTGACAATATGTTTAGTACATGTTCAAATGTATTTATACTCCGACACAGAACCATATTTTATTATATGCATATTATGAAGCGTATTATTGAATATAAAATGACATACAATATGAGAAGTAAAAATGTTTTCACATATTTTTCAATATATGAAAAGTGACAATTGCTTATGTATTATTCAATATATTGTTATATATTAACAGAATATATTATTCTGTATATTAAACTTATGAGGCGATATATTTTCTTTGTGTATCGGTAAGCATTGTGCGCTCCCTCCTCGGTTCGAACATACATTTAATTTAATTTATTGGGTTGTTTTCATACATTATTTATTGCTCTTCACATATTTTAGAATAACATGCACTGATGAATCATTCACAATAAGAACAGAAGAATATGTGCTATTTAATAAACAACCAAAAAGTCTAAACAATGTTCTAATAATATTTTATATTATTATAAAACGTATAAACAATATAAATGAGGGCTGCATAAATGGCATCAATAATTAACAAAACAGGCTCTTTGTTAAAAAGGTTTTACTTTATAACAATCAAATATCAGTAAACAAAACAAACATTTTGCTCACTTTCTTTTTTTATTATAAGGAAAAATACAACAAAACAGAAACAATTGTAAATAACAATTAAACGGCAATAAACAAAAACAAACAAAATATAGATAATATTGGAATAATATTTTATATTATGAATAATAATTTTACATTTTAGTATAAATAAATATATACATTTTATATTAATTTAAATTTTATACAATTATACATTCATATCAGTTGTAAATGAAGGCGACATAAATATAATCATCATCAATAATTAACAAAACAGCCTCTGTTTAAAAAAGAAGTTTTTACTTTGCTTTGTCCGTCAGTCCAATTTGCAGAAATGCCATTTTTCTCTCTTCTCTTTCTTTTTTATTATAAAGAAAAAACTAAAAACAAAAGCAATCATAAATAACAATTAAATACCAATAAACAAAAATATATAAATAACACTGTAAAAATATTTTGTATTATTATAAATAATTTATTTTATAGTATAATAAATAAATAGATGCCGTTTATATTATTATAAATAATAATAATAATAAAACTACATACCGGTGACATAAATGGCATCATCAGAAATGAACAAAACAGTATCTTTGTTTAAAAAAAAAATGATTTTTTTATTTTGTCCAATTGCAGAAATGGCATTTTTCTCTCTTCTCTTTTTTATTATAAAGAAAATTTTTTTAAACAAAAGCAAGCAATCATAAGTAACAATTAAACACCAATAAACACAAAAAAAAACATTGTAGAAATATTTGTATTATTTTGAACAATATATTTTATATTATAATAAATAAATAAATATATAGATATTAGGGATGTGCATCTCCATGACTCAGGCCGATACGATACGCCTCTCGATGCATAGCCAACGATAAGATACATTAAAGATACACATGAAGCAGTTACCGATACGATACGATACGATTCCGATTCGATTTGATTCAACACAATGCGATTCGATGCAATATGATGCAATGGAGAAAATATGATCACTTTTAATGCCTCGA